AGTTTGAATACAAACATATGGCCTCTAGAGGAAGGTCTTTCTTTACCTCCTTCAGGTTCTCTAGTAGCTGCTAGCAATCCTTGGGTTCCTGGGCTTGTAAATTGATATGGCTCCGTCTTCACATGGTGTCCTTTTTCTTCATGTGTGTGTGTCTCTCCATGTCTGTTTTCCCTCAGAAGGGACTAGGTTTAGAACCAACCCTACTCAAGTGTGACTCATTAACATAAGAAAAGAAAAACCCTATTCCCAAACTGTCACATTTGCAGGTATAGCGGTTAGAACTTCACTGTATCTTTTTTGGGAGTTGTTGTTGTTAGGTGCCATTGAGTCATCTCTGACTCATAGCGACCTTATGTTGCTAAGAATGAAACACTGCCTGGTCCTGTGCCAGCCTCATGATCCCTGCTATACCTGAGCCCATTGTTGCAGCTACTGTGTCAATCCATCTAGTTGAGGGCCTTTCCCTTTTTTGTTGAACCTCCACTTTACCAAGCATAATATCCTTCTCCAGAGAATGGTCCCTTCTGACAACATGACCAAAGTAGGTGAGACAAAGTCTGGCCATTCTTGCTTCCAAGGAGCATTCTAGCTGCACTTCATCCAGGACAGATTCGTTTATTCTTCTGGCAGTCTATGGTACTTTCACTATTCTTTGCAACACCACAACTCAAAAGCATCAACTCTTCTTTGATCTTCCTTATTCGTTGTCCAGCTTTCACATGCATATGAAGTGATAGAAAATACCATGGCTTGGATTGGGCGCACCTTAGTCTTCAAGGAGACATCTTTGCTCTTGAGCACTTGAAAGAGGTCTTTTGCAACAGATTTTCCCAATGAAATACATCTCTAGTGTCTTGACTGCTGCTTCCATTGGTTTTAGGAGACACAGCTCAATTAATAATAAGTGGTATAAAGGGAAAATCTATCAATTAGTTGTTTAAGTGCATAAGAAGACTTAACATTTAGTAACTATACTGTTGTTGTTGTTATGTGCTGTCGAGTCAGACCCGACTCATAGTAACCCCTCCTTGGGTTTCCGAGGCAGTTTCACTAAGGAAGTAGTTTGCCCCATCTTCCTTCAGAGGAGTGGCTGGTGGGTTTGAACTGCCAGCCTTCTGGTTAGCAGTCAAGTGCCTTAGGCACTAAACTACCAGAGCTCCTAGTAACACACTACGTGCCGTGAAATGAATGAGAAATACAAAACTTATTCTCACTTTCTAAGGGTTTAAGAATGAAGGCAGAAATAGGACAAATATTTATAAAACATTTCCATATAATTCCAGGTTGTTTGTTCTTTCCTTACCACCTAGCACTGTGCTTGGCATGTTGTAGATTCTCAAATATTATCGAATGAATGAATGTATGGGTGGGTGGTATAGCCTACAAATGCACTAAGGGTTCAGAGAGGACAGGTCAGTAAGGGCTGGAGCAATAAGGGAAGATCTTTAATTGGATTTTGAAAAAGAACTCAAGTTTGAATAGATGAAGGATGACATTAGAAATGAACATGGTATATATGAAAGTGATAATGAACAAACTAGGGTAAGATACCACCAGAAAGTTTGGGTGGGGTTAGATTATCAGTAAGCTCCTTTGTTAGTTGTAAATTTAAAGTAAGGGACTGTGTCTTCTTCATGTTTTTAGCACAGAGGCTGGGTGTGGTGCAGAATCAATAAGTATTTGTTGACTACCTAACTGACAGACAAACTGAGTGGCTGACTGGTAGAAGACTTCAAGAGATTTCTTTAGGCAATGATAAAGGTGAAGTTTTAGGAAAATTCAGTTTCACTTGGTGTATATAGTTTGCCAGACATAATGGAAAAGAATCAAATTCAATTAAGAAGCTCTTGCAGATAAATAGAAGGCTATGAGAGAAATCTAGGAGCCCTGGTGGTATAATGGTTAAGCGCTCAGCTGCTAACTGAAAGGTTGGCAGTTGGAATCCACCAGCGGTTCCTTGAGAGCCGAGACCTGCTGATAAGTTTCCATAAAGATTACAGCCTAGGAAACACTATGGGAATTCTACTCTGCCATAAAGGGTCAAGTCAATATGAGTGGGAATCTGCTCGATGGCACAGAGCACCATGACAGAAATGGACAAGGGGGATATGGTTGGGAATTAAAAGGGATGATTGTTTAAGAGAAACTGTGAAGAAAGAGTAGCTGATTTTCCTTTTTAACTCTGTCTTAGATCAGGTTCCCTTGGAGCAGATCCTGACCTGAGGATTTTTGTGCAAGAGGCTAAGAGAGGGAATACTTTCAGGTGAAACCTGTAAGGGAGTAATGGCAGGAGCATAAAGCAGAGGAAGCAGCTTAGTAAAGCTGTGAGTTCAGCTGAAGTGTAGGTTCAATCTTCAGTGTGAATGACACCACACATTTGCCCCTCCTTGAGGCAAGGGACTGGACTTTTGCTATCCTAATCAATCAGTTACTGGTTCTAGGCTGTGCCCGAGGTAGGAGGAAGGAGATTATAACCTCACAGGCATTTCTTGGTAAGGTGAGTGACTCCCTTATGCCCAGGGAAATTTTCAGGAGAACAACTTGAGATATTAGTAGGCAGGACTTGCTGGAGTTCGGGTGCACTAGCCAGCTAAAGAGTCTTAATGGGATACCAAGAGTATCTACTATACTCTGCTATAGTTGATTCTTCATAGAGAACCCTGCTGAGAACCTTCCAATAGCTTCTGATCACCTCCAGAAGAAAACCCAAGCTGTGTTTATCCTGACCTACACGATTTAGCCTTCTCCTACCTCTTCTAGAAGTTCTAGTGGCATAGTGCCTAAGGTATTTGACTGCTAGCCAGAAGGCTGACAGTTCAAACCCACCAGCCACTCCTCAGAGGAAGACTGGGCAATCTATTTCCATACTGTTACCTCCTCAGAAATCCAAGTAGGGGTCACCGTGAGTCAGCTCTGACTCGATGGCAGTGAGGTTTGTTGTTGTTGTTGTTCTACCTCTTGTATCCAAACTTACTTTATTTTTCTTTCTCAAACATGTGAAACACATTCTCACCTCAGACTCTTTGTGCTTGATTTCACTCTGCCTGGACTGCTCTTCCCTTTAGATTGTTATACTCTGGAGCATGATAATAAGCAGTTGGATTTCAAGGCACTAATATTAAGGAGCTCTGGTAGCATAGTGGCTAAGGCACTTGACTGCTAACCAGAAGGCTGGCGGTTCAAACCCACCAGCCACTCCTTGGAAGGAAGGTTGGGCATTCCTACTTCCGTAGTGATACTGCCTTGGAAACCCAAGGAGGGGTCGCTATGAGTTGGGGCTGACTCTATGGCAAACAACAACAACAATATTAAGAAGTGATCTCATGTATTACGTATTTTTACATTCAAGATATTATTTAATCCTTTTAAGATGGTAGAATTATTCCCACTATATGCCTTAAAAACCCTCTACAGAGCAAGTTCTACTCTGCACACGTGGGGTCACCATGAGTCAGAATCAACTTGACGGCAACTAACAACGACAGCAACCAGAGATTCAGGGAAGTATAACTCATCCAGGGTCATTAAGTAGCAAAGCTGGGATTCAAACCTAGATAATGCTGAAAGCAGAGTTCATGCCATTTCTATTGTTCAAAGCACCTAGGGGCATCCAGATTGTGGTTAAACTCCCATCAAACTACAAGAATTCATTAACTGCAAGCTCATTTTTCTGACTCGGATTTCTGTCAATTTCAGATTATAAAATGACAAAATATAGTAATTTATTTACATTTAAACATTTTTCCTTCAATGCTTAATCTTAAAACCTTTTAGTTTTTAATTTATCACCAAGTTTTTTTCATATTTCTGCCCACTTGTATGTGTGTTTGTGAGAGAGAGAGAGAGAGAGTAAAGAGAATGAGGAAGGAAGAGAACAAGGCGGATTTTGAACATTTAGTGTAGCTGTTCTGGGACCTTGAAGGTTATTTCCATGTATTTCATATCAATGTGAGCAGCTTCTATGTAAAATACTATTTACAGGTCAATGAGGCAGTGCTTCTTTCAAGGTAAGTGTTAAAAGAGAATGGTTATTTGGGAATTTGAACAAATAAATGTAACTATTTTCATTTTTATGTAAATAAACTAATGGTTCCCTCATTAGAACAAATACAGAGCAGATGAGGGAGAGATTATTGTATTTTTACAATTCATGTGAAAAGAATATATAATCTAAAATAAATTGAATGCACAAATAAAAAAATAGCTCTGTGCAAACTATTTATTTATGAAATGAAACCTCTTGAAAGAGGATTGCTGACAGCAACTTATATGCAATATACCTCATTCCTGTTCTGACCCTTGCATTTTGGAAGTCATACATAGTAATTTAGTTGCACTCGCATTAATATTAGTGGGAGTTCTGAAACTTAAATCTCTGCATATATCTTTGAAAATATATGGGTCAAAGTAAACTGTTAATGATTTTTTTTTTTTTTTAATTGTTAGTGAAATTGTTTGAATCTCTCTTGAAAAATGTCCTAGAAGACACCTTCATTCTAGTCCTAGGAGAAGAATTATAGTATAAGGTTATTGTTTGGAGGTCATCATCTTTAAAGTGACATGGATAAAAAATCATATGAAAAAGAAAACAGAGTTTCCCTAGCCCTAAATAACATAAAAGTTCAGGAATCATCTTGTTTTATAATAAGTAAAGGACACTGGACCCTTTTGACGGATGAGAAGCTGGGTGCATCTGATCATTGATAGAGGCATGCTAAGGTGAATTTTAATTAGGACTAAATTGTGGTATTACTCTTTCATACCCTGAACATCTGTTCCCTTCAGAAATGATGATTTATGCAGGCTATCAGTGCAGACAGCTTGCTACAGCTTATGTCACGGTTAGTGGGAAGCTGGTGGTAGCATTTCAGAAAACCAGCATCTAAATGGAGACTGGCCAGTGTATATCATATAGGTAAGAGGGGGAGGGGAACCAGGATGTGTCCATTTTTAATTTTGAAGCCAAATATTGACTTGACTTTAAAAAAATTATCTTCTAGACCATCTGTTGTTAATGAAGAAAGTAACTTGGACAATGAATGGGCTGATGCTTCCTACTGATGTCAAAAGACAGAAAACCAAGCCTGTTCTTTCCAAGAGAATGAAGAAACTTACGGAGAAGACCTCAGTCCGAATTCTGTTTTTTAAGAATGGCATGGGTCAGGATGGGCATGAGATTACAGTGGGAAAGGAAACAATGAATAAGGTAATTTTGTGTTCAATATTTAAGTATGTGAATTAAATTTAAAAGTTTTTATGGGTTTTTAAAAATCCAGTAGATTTAGGTGTGTTTTTTACATGTCATTTAATATACTGTGAAATGTTAAGGAGGCATTATTTAAAACTCAAACTCAACTGTTCAGGCGTGTGCTTATTGCTCTAAGAACATAAAAGACCATAGCACAGCTGTGGTCTTTCTGGAATTTTCTCAGCTAACTTAGCAGGCAGTTTACCTACTTAAAAGTTATGTCTCTGTGGAGCTAAACATTCCCGTTTGTGATAGTATTTTATAAGATATTTAGATTGAGGCCAATCTAACCTAGCTTCAAATCTCAAATCTGCCCACTTTCATTTAGAGTAGTATTAAGAAGACATAAAAGCATCCCCGCTCCTTGAAAGAATAAACAAAGTGGAAAACAGTTAAAATTCAGATGGGGCAATCTACTTCTGTAGTGATACTGCCTCGGAAACCCAAGAAGGGGTCACTATGAGTCTGGTCTGACTCCATGGCACAAAACAACAACCACCAATTTAAAAAATGAATCTACATTGACCTAAGAAAAAACATGTAATAAGCAAGCTTTTAAAAGGAAATTTGAAAGTATTTCTTGTCACATAAATGTGTTTTTTTGGATGGTGCTTGTACTTCCTATATCTTTGATATTGAAAAATATAGAGGAACTAATGGGGAATTTGGGGAAAAAAAATATTTTACAGAAGATTTTGAATGAACCTTAAAGACGTCTCATCATAATAATAGCTAAAGTGTATTAAAGATGTAATGGTAAGGCAGCAAAACATAACCAAACTCTCTAGGTTTGAATCCTGGCTTCACCATTTACTAACATGAGACCTTGGACAACTTAGGTTCTCTGAACTTTAATTTCTTCGTCTAAAAAAATAAAGATAGCAATAGTGCCTACCTCAGAGAGTTGCTGGGGGTGGGGGTGGGGTTAAATGTGATATTCATAAAGTACAATGCTAAGTAATCTGAGAGTTCATAATAAATGTTTGCTATCCTACCTTTAGGACCGATAAATACACATCTACTAGTTAGAAAATATTTTCCATATTAATGAGAAACATTTATGAAATCAGAATAGGTACAAATTATACTAGACTAGTTTCTAATTGAATATTGCTTGAAACAAGTGAATAACTGACTATATATTTGAAATTTTTGTTGTAAAAATAATCTATTTATGTATCTATTTATTTTTATGATTGATTTATAACCACAAATAGGTAAGTGAGAATCTGGGCAACCTGGGTTTTATTTCCTTCTTCTCTGCAGATCTGGATTATGAGTAAAACAGGGATATTACACACCAGAGCAAATTGCTAAGGAAAGTAGTAACATCTTCCCTGGAGATTTGGAAAAATAGATAAGATAGACATATCTCTTGGATTGTTAAAATGCAGTCATTCTTGGAGATAGAAACTAGATTAGATAACCTGTTGAGTTTACTTCAGTTCAATCTGTGTAATTCTGTGCCTCAGTGGTAAAATTGAGGTAATAGTCACTCTTATAGATTACATGTTCTTAGATGAAAGGTTGAGTATAAATAAAAATGTTACTGCTATTTTGCTTTTTGACTCTAGTAAGTGATTTGTTTAAAACTGGATGATCAAGGAAGTCCCTATCTTATTATTTTTTTCTCTTACAATTTGTAGCATTAAAGAATTTCCACAACTTATAAAACTCATGATAAGATATAATTCAGTAATAAATGTATTTGAAAATATTCATCTAAGTATCATAGCATCACTTTTAAGAATGAAGTCAAGGAGAGGAGGCTCCTGAATGCTGGTTTTTGCTTGTCAATAAGAACTTTTAGAAGGGAAAAAATAAGGTTAGTTAATTATTTGGGAAAAAGTTTAAAATTGGAAAATTTTGTTGATAATCATAAGGCCCAGTTTTTAGATTAAATATCAAACACATGATAAGATTAGAGACATGACATAGTCACAGGAGAAACACAAAGTATTTTCTATGATAAAATATTAGTAAGGTTAGGGACTATTAGCAATTTTTATGTTATTACTAAACAATATAAAACTGGTAGAATGTAAAGGACTTTGATATGGTGAAGATGATCACAGTGGGATGAGGAGAGAGTTAGTGAGGACGGGGTAAAATAACATTGCCAAAGCATAGAAATCCTCAGCCATGGGGAAAGGACCGTATTACAATCAATTGTAAGTGGGAATCAAAAGGAAATCCATTTATTTATTTTAGGAGGTTAAATAATTAAGAAGCTTGAAATGAGGGCAAAAGTGATATATTTCTTCACTAAATTCTGAAGTACCACAACAATGGCACAGTCCTTTAAAACTTGAATTAAGATGGTTTTAGATTTAAACGGAATGGTTTTAGTGACCACACAATACTTGCTACTCTGTGATGTTAAAAACAAACAAACTCACTGCCATCGAGTCAATTCTGACTCATAGCATCCCCATTGAGTTTCCAAGGCTGTAAATCTTTACAGAAGCAGACCGCCTCATCTTTCTTCCACAGAGTGGCTGGTGGGCTCAATCCACCAACCTTTTGGTTAGCAGCTCAATGCCTTAACCACTACACACCAGAGCTCCATTCTCTGTGATGTAGGCTAAGCATATATATCTATGAATTGAAAAAAGGCATTAAGAAAAATCCATGAGCACAAGATACAAAGTTAATGAGAATTGAAAAATGCCTGCTACTGATATGTAACTTTTTAAGTTCCATACCATGGTGGATAAATTTTATTCTTCCTGAAATATTTTGTATTTATTGCCAGAGAAGTGGTATTAAGCTATGAGGATTATTATAATATCCAAGATAGCATCTCCTTGTTGAAAAAGCTTTTGTTTTCTCAGCAGTTCACAGTTCTAGTTTTATTTATTTAGCATGGTTTTCTATGTGCTATCACACATGGACATGAAATTACAGGGGAGAAGAAAACAATGAAATAAGAAATGAATGGAACAATGAGAATGACCATTGCCATTTTGCTCCAGTTTGAACTTACTGCTTGCTCACTGTGTTCTCTCTCTATCCTGGGATTGCCCTTCCATCAACCTGAGGATTAGCTTTCCCTCTCTTTGGCATCAGATCCTGCTTTCCTAGTTCCCTAGAGTCCCTCTTTCTTCATTTACTCTATTACCTGGCTATTCCAGTGGCTTCCTAAGAGAACATGGAAGGTATGTTTTTTGAGATCTTAGGAATTCATTTTCTTTTCTCCTCTAACTTGTAAAGATATTGTTCCAATTGTCTTCTTGTCTCCACTGCTGTTGAGAAGTCTGACATCATACTGATTCTTTATCCATCGTAGATGACCTTCTTTTCATTTTTCATCTGTGAATATTTTTGGAGTTATCTCTTTGTTCCCAGTGTTCATAATTTTTTTCCAAGATATGCTGGACACTCAGGGTTGTCTTTTCAGTCTGAAAACTCTCATCCTCTTCTGGGAAGTTTTTGTGAATTATGTCTTTGTCAATGTAATTTTCCTCAACTGTTTCTGTTCTGATTTTATGGAATGCCTGTTCAGATGTTTGAGCTCCTGTACTGAGCTTCTAATTATCATAACTCGGAGAATTCTTTATTTTTATCTTCCAACCCAATGCATTTTCACTTCTCCCTGCATTCTCTTTTTTTCGAAGTACTTGTTTTTTCTTTGTCTTTTATATTAGAGGCTTTCCTTAAATATGTGTTGTTGTGTTTTGCCATTGAGTCAGATCTGACTCATAGCGACCCCTCCTTGGGTTTCCGAGGCGATATCACTATGAAAGTAGATTGCCCAACCTTCCTTCCGAGGAGTGGCTGGTGGGTTTGATCTGCCAGCCTTCTGGTTAGCAGTCAAATGCCCTAGGCACTATGCCACCAGAGTACTTTATTAATATTTAAAGGTGAACAACTATAATACTGATTGTCTGTAGTTCTTTTCTCTGGATCTTGTCAGATTCATCAGATGGAATCTGCCAATCTGAGCATTCTAAGAGCCAAGTGGAGATGTGGGCCATGTTTCAATGGTCAGAACTGGATTATGTGTTCACCTCTGAACCATTCATTGACAAGGACATGGGACACCCGCAATTGGTTTTGAACAATCAAGATAATTATAGCATCTCTTGAATCAAAAGGGGGAAGGATGAGCCTTTAAACAAAATCAGGGCAGCAAGGACAAAGCAGGAATGAATTGCTGCAAATGTAAAGAGGTTTTCTTATTTTATTTCCTAACGACAGTACAAGAAGCCCTGGTCGTGCAGTGGTTAAAGTGATTGGCTGCTAATTGAAAGGTTGGCAGTTCATCCCACTAGCTGCTCCATGGGAGAAAGAGGTGGCAGTCTGCATCCATAAAGATTACAGTCTGGGAAACCCTATGAGGCAGTTCTACTATGTCCTATAGGGTCCCTTGGAGTCAGAATCAACTAGAAAGAAAAAGTGGTCATATGGGCTTACAGGTCAACAGATGAAAATTAAGAAAATTTCCTTTTGATTTGTTAATGTGGAAGTCACTGGTAATTTCTGTGAAAATTATTTTAGTAAAATGATAGAGAAAAAGCCAGATTGGAGCGATCTGAGAACGAGTAAGAAGAAAAATGGAAACAGACAATATGGGCAAATCTTTTAAGATATTTAGTTGTGCAGGGGAGAAGTAGCTAGAGGGAGATATGAGGTCAGGGAATATTTAATTTTTAAGATAAAAGAGACTTGAGCATGTTTAAATATCAGTGAGAAAAAATCTAGTTGAGAAAGAATAGTTGATTGTACGTGAGAGAGAAGAAATCATGGATAGTATATATTGTTTTAAAAGCTGAGGGCAAACATAATTGAAAGTATGGTGGGAATATTAGCCTTAGGTAGGAACAGTGACTCCTGTAATATAGGAGAAAAGAATATAGAGAAGAGGATTGGTGCAGAAGTTGGTACACTTTTAGGTTTGATAGCAGGAAGATGAAGCCTCAATTTTTTCTGTGATGCATGGTGTCATATCATCTGTTGAAAGTGATAGAAGATGTAGGAATATAGAGGAGAGGAAGTGGGGTGGAAATGAGCCAAATGGAAGTACTATATATAATATAAATACTATATTATGTAAGTGGTGGGAAAGTAACATGACCAAAGAAATGAAGTAGAAGTGAATAGGTGGTATTGAGGGACCATGGACCTTGGTTACTATGCATAATAGTAAGGATGGTGTGCTCTATTGTGCTACTTTCTCCATTAGCATCCAGCTTCAAAATGTTGGCACAGAAGAAGTAGAAAGTTAGGGGCATTTAGAGTCAGGATTCTGCAAGCTCTATGGGGCAAAAAGTTATTCATGAATGAGAAGAAAGACTAGAGTGAAGGGAGGTGGCATTGTCAAATGTCAGGTTCTTCAAGCAACCAGAGTTTATTTACTTATTTTTATTTATTGACTTATTTCAATAATAGGTTTTAGGGGTAATGGTCTTGAAACAGCAATTGTAAGCACCACCACCTACCAAACTTGAGACTGTGTGATATGAGAGAAGAAAAATTCACCACTTGAGAAAGCTCTGGGGAAATGAATGAACTCAAGGAAAAGCCTAGTTTCTTTTTGGAAAGATTGAGGTTCTGCTCCAGTTTGTTGACTAGAGAAAGCATTTCCAGAGCAAACAATGGAAGGATTTTAGAAATGAAGGAAGGAAGGAGTTTAAGCTGATGTACACAGGGAAAGAAAATGCAGAACTGTATGTGAATGATGTGACTACAGAACTTTTGTAAAGAGTGAGATAGTAAATATTTTCAGTTTTACGAGCTATAAGATCTCTAGCAACTACTCAACTCTGCTGTTATAGCAAGAAACCAGCCATAGAAAATATGCTAATGGACAAGTGTGATTCTGGCCCAGGAAAACTTTATTTATGGGCACCAAAATTTGAATTTCATATGATTTCCAAGTTAAATAATAATAACCTATTATTATAGAAAATAATAGTAATAACATATTATTATTATTTTGATTTTCTTTTTGGCAATTAAGTATGTGCAAATAATTCTTGGCAAGATAGCCATACAAAACCAGATCGTG